ACTTACGGGCACTATTATTTTTATTGGCATAATTACAGAAAGAAGGAAAGACTGAGAGATTTTTCCATCCACTGCTTCACTCTCCAAATGGCCATGGTGGCCAGACGGAGCCAATTGAACACCAGTAGCCAGAAGCTTCTTCTGGTTCTTCCATGCAGGTGCAGGATATCAAGCGTCTTCTGGTTCTTCCATGCAGGTGCAGGATATTGAGGCATCCTCCGCTGCTCTCCCAAGTCATAATCTGAATTGTTTGTGGAATAACAGGAACACAAACCAGTGCTAATACAGGATGTAGGCACTGCAGGCAAAAGATTTAAGATTAGCCTGTTACATGCTTTGGCCTCCAAGCATTATTTTTTCTTGAACATGGTAGCACATCCTAATCCACTACAGTAATATTTCTAACACATCACCAAATTACGTTTCATATTACTTCTCCAAAAAAAAAGTTACATCCAAAAAGTTTTCTCAATGTGTAAGAATGTGTCTGTTATATTTAGAAGCTTTAATTAGTTGCTTTCCTTGTAAATATGTGGTTCTCATGTGATATTCACCTTGGGATCTTTATTGATTTCCATATGTTCAATATATTTATAATTATCTGAATATGTGAGTATAAAAGGCATTCTGTAATTAAAGGCATAAAGTTCAGATTTGGGACTCATGTGAGAGTTGCAAAATTTGAGGAACAGGAGAAAGACTTCATTAAGAAGAAAATTCAGTTGGAGTTTCTTCAAATTCTGAATATACAATGTGTGAATAAAAGGAATTATGATACACTAATGTAACAGCAGTTACCTAACATGACCGTTTGATACCAATAATGACCAAATTATTAAATTGATGGGCTCAAAGTTGCTTTGAAACGGTTTTTAGTAACAAATATTGATTTTTTCCCACTGGAACTATAATTATTATAATCATTATAATAATCTTTGCTACGGGTAGGCACAAAACAATGGGCATTAGACAGAACAGAGTAATGTGGAGCGTTTAGCTGGAAGGCCTCAGAGGGTCGGAGAACATTGATCCAATCAAGATTCTTTTCCTTCAGTCTCGATCCATCCAGCTGGGGGCTACTGCTCCCAGGCAACTGACCGCTGCTGAGAGAATGAGGGTCGGAGATCAGAGGACAGCGATTTCCTCCATGACCCGATGGATGACAAAAATCTATCAGGGGCCTCTGGGGTGTTGCTGTGAGTCCAGTGCCCACCTAATTTACAAATAAGAATGGGACCCCAGGATGAACGACTTGGTGGCAGTACTCTGGACACTGGGCAATCGTGGCTTGGGAGTACTGGAATATTTTCTGCTTACAGACCTCAAACCAGTCCTTGGCTTTCTAGTGGACCTGCAGAAAGCAATCAGCTTGGAAGCCACTGGGGCGGGGATGGGGTGGGGCGGTGAGGGGCGGGAAGGGGCATCTCTGCTCCGCATCACCACCAAAGAGAAAAAAGAAAATGGACAATGCTTCTTGTGCTTGCGTGCTAGCTCCCTGGGGAGTTCATAGACTAGGGTAAAGAAAAACTGGTAGAACTGGATGCTCTGGGTGCTAAGGCAGCTGATCGTGTGGTATTCACTAGAAGTCAGTCTTTGAGTGTTCTTCTCTGCCTTCCTGCAAGGGATCCTTAGAGGAAGCAAAGAGGAATTGTACAAGGAGCTGCAGTGCCTTTAGCCACAGTGTCGGTTGCTCCCTGAGGAGAACTCATATTTCTCCCCTGAAAGTCAACTTTTCCTCTTAAGAAGAATTTCTGGGGAAGACAGCAGATGAAGGAGTAGTTAGAACAGAACCAGAGTAAATGCAAACACGCATATTCATCATTTCATTCGCATTTAACAAAGAGGAGAAAGAGAAAGTGAGAGTACAAATTATCCTAATCTTTTGAAAAACGATTGAGCCTAATTTGCTGAAAGAATTAAATTTCTTTATTTACTTATTTATTTATTCACTTATTCATTCATTCAGAGAAATCTTCGATCTTCTTAGAATGTATGAGGAAGATGTGAAGTATAACCTATCAGGAACATAACAGGAAACTCATAGATAACAGACTCGAATCAGCATTAGACAATAGTAAAACTACAAAGACATATAGGGGGAATCAAGAATGATCATGACAACCTCTTAACAGGAGGTCATATGCAGAAAGTGGAGGGGGAGGACCTCAGAGTGGAGCAGGTAGACAGAAGGAGGCTTGTATTACAACCCTGAAGACTCCCAGATCCTCACCAAGGACTATCAGTACAGACACCAAGGAGTACATCCCAAGCCAAGGAGACCACGGGGAATTGGACTGCCTTTGGAGGCCGAGAATTCTGAGGACATCCACTCCCATTTGAATCTCCCACATGGGATGGAAGGGGTCCAATTCCTTCCTCGCAAGGTCCAATGTCCTCGGAACAACAGCCAGGAGCCTTGAGTGGTCCACAGAAACGGAAGAACAGTAAACTTTCTTTGGGACTAGAAAGAGGAGCTTTCTCTGGTCCTTACTTAGTTCCAACTTTGGATCCCCACCCTCTCTTGTAATGACCATCTGGGTCGCTCTGGAGGCCCCCTACCCCTAGAAAAAGCAAACAAGCGAACAAAAAAATTAGAATGCATAGACAGAGAACAGCAAAGAAAGCTTAGAACCAGATAGAAAATGGTCAGCGTGGATTCACATGCACCTTACTAGGTAGAACACAAAGATTGGTTACTCCCCACTAAGGCATTGAAGATTTCTCTGCACATCCCTCCTAAAACTGTTCTACAACTCAACTGTTGACATATGCCTTGTTAGAGTTATAAGCCAGTTTAGACTATCCTAAAATCTGCCAAGTTCAGCAGAATTATGCTTCAACACTATAAACTGCTAAATACTAAAATGAAAATAGACACGAGACAGCTGAATAGTACCCTATAGTCATTTTAAGGTCTATAGCATCTGGTTCTATATATAAACTAAAATTGAAATGTCAATGAAGTAGTCACAGGATGCGGTTAAGAACTTGCATTTTTTCTTAACATTTTGATTACTCAATACCATGTCAATTAATTCCATAATGTTGTAAATTCTTGTTGATGCTGTGTTGGGGCTTTTAATTGATCGGGATGATATTCTGCCAGCTCTACCTTCAGACCAGAGAAGGTCTCCCCAAGAAATCGTTGAGTTTATCTGGACAATAAGATGCTGGACTCTATGCTTGGTATATGTTTGCAAAGAAAGAATCTTGACTAAATTTGAACTGTAATACTGTATCGAGGTGGAGGAACCCCTCATGGGGGGAGGGTATGGGGAGGAGTTGGGGGTATCCCAGAGCCTATGAAACTGTGTAACATAATGCAACCTAATTAATAATAAAAATCAATAAAATAAAATAAGCAATGAGCGTAAATTGCTGAAAGAATTAACTTTATTTATTTATTTACTCATTCATTATTTATTTTTAGCAAAGGAAGTTCCGGTGGTCTGGACTTAAGGACAAGTGTTGGCACCGGTGCAGAGCTCCCTGCAAAGGGGAGTTCGGCAGTCGCACACAAAGCCTGGAGTCCCAAGGCCCCAAAGGGCCCTCTGCCTGGGACACCAGAGCAACAAACCAGGCAGCGCCTAAGGCTGTGCTGCTGTCCTGCCGCTCAGCTGGTGGCCGGCAGAAGTTAGTCACTGGGAGCCACAGCCGAGGCTGCAGGATGGCGAGAGCGACCCGAGTCCCGGGGTAGCTGGGGCAAGGCAAAGGCAAAGCTGGGGCAAGGCAAAAGGAGCGTAGGGGCGAAGGGACGCGGGCAGGGTCGCGGGTGGGGACGCTGGGGCGCCTTCTCCTGCTGGAGGAACTTGCAGGGCTACGGAGCCAGAGCGCAACGGCGTGCAAAGGGGAAAAACTTAACCACAGGAACTGCCCACCAAGGGCAAGAAAAGCAAGCGAGAAGCAGGCAGGGAGAGACCTGAAATGTCCCAATAACTTTAAAAACACACCAAAACACCCCTTCAGGAGATGAGGTAAGCGGGGTTAGCCAACTCCGATTGGTTGTGAAATATCAGACAGACCCGGAGCCGCTGTGGCTTTAAATGAGGCCAAGGAAATCTGTTTTTCTTGCCCAAATACTTTTTTTTCCCCTCTCGCTTGCGTTCCCTCCCTTGTCCCTCCTCCTTTCTCGCCAGGTCCCGGTCCCTTCCTCCTTCCTCGGCTCCCTTTCCTCGATCACCCCCCCCACCCCACCCTCCCCCATCTGATTAGGCGCGGACCGGGAAGGGTGGGAGCGGTGGGGGAAGCTCTCCCTTTAAGAGGCAGCGTGCAGTGACGAATTGTTGAAATTGCCCTTGCAGGATGGCATGCCGCTATAAATTCATTGTTCCACCTCCTCGCATCTTCACAGCGCTCGCGCTGCTCTCCGCGCTCGCAGCGGCCGACTGGGGATGACCGCGGGGAGGAAGGCACCGCAAACCAAGGGACTCGGACGCGCCACCGCACCGGCTCGCCCAAGGCCGCCCCCTGCTATTCTGTTTTAATTTTTATGGCTTTTCCTTCTCTCTTTCTCCCCCTTTTCCTCGTTCCCGTAGAGCCAAGGAAACCCACAAAATAAGAAAGCAAGTGGGCCACAGAGCTTGAAACCTCCGCAGCCGGCGGGTCGCTAGCGGCCAGGGGGCAGCGACGAGGCGGCGCGCACCAGTTGCCCGCCCGGCGCGCGGTGCCCTCTTCTTCACTTTTCTCCGTGGCAGCATTTTGTTGTTGTTGTTGTTTTGTTTTGTTTTTTTGTTTTCTCCTATTTACTGGGGCCCTGCCACCTGGCTTTTTGCTCTTTCCCCTTTTTCCCTCGTTTCTTTTTTTTCTCCCCCCCGCCCCCCTTTCCGGAGCTCCAATCCAAAAAATTTTTCCAAACCAACAAAGAAAAGTTCGCACGCTGGCACCGCGGCCGGGACAGGCAGACACTGCTGCCGGTCCCCCTCTCTCCGACACTTGAGTCAACCTTGAGAGCAAGTGTGTGTGTGTGTGTGTGTGTGTGTGTGTGTGTGTGTGCCTCCACTCCCCGCCCCGGTAACTTCCCTAGCGAATAACAAATACCAGAAGGTCCCCCGGTCGCGCAGCCCCTCCCCGCGGGCAGCGCACTATGCTGCTCTGGTGGGCGTCCCTGCTGCTGTGCGCTCTCCGTCTGTCGCTGGCCGCGGCCGGCACCGCTGCGGCACCTGCCCAGGATAAAGCCGGGCCGCCTCGGGCTGCTGCGGCGGCCGCCCAGCCCAGCCGACATCAGGGGGAGGAGGCGCAGGAGCCAGCTGACCCTCCCCGCCATCCGCAGCCGGGGGTGCCGCAGCGCCGGAGCAGCGGGCTCGTACAGAACATCGACCAGCTCTACTCGGGAGGTGGCAAGGTGGGCTACCTGGTCTACGCGGGCGGCCGGAGATTCCTCCTGGACCTGGAAAGGGATGGTTCGCTGGGCGCTGCTGGCTTAGTGCCGGCGGGAGGCGGGCTGAGCGCACCTCGGCGCCACCGGGACCACTGCTTCTACAGGGGCACGGTGGACGGCAGCTCCCGCTCCCTAGCTGTTTTTGACCTCTGCGGTGGTCTGGACGGTTTCTTCGCAGTCAAGCACGCGCGCTACACCCTGAAGCCTCTGCTGCGGGGTCCCTGGGCCGAGGAGGAAGCTGAGCGGGTGTATGGTGATGAGTCTTCGCGGATCCTGCACGTCTATACCCGAGAAGGTTTCAGCTTCGAGGCCCTGCCACCACGCGCCAGCTGCGAGACTCCTGCTTCGCCGCTGGGGATCCACAAGCACCCCAGGACGCACCTCAGCCCTGCCGGACGCTCAGCACCGGCCCCGGCCCCGCAGATCTTGGATTCTTCTGCTCTCTCGCGAACAGTAGACGGACCTGGACCACAGACGTGGTGGAGGAGACAGCGCCGCTCCATCTCCCGGTCTCGCCAGGTGGAGCTGCTCCTGGTGGCTGACGCGACCATGGCACGGATGTATGGCCGGGGCCTGCAACACTACTTGTTGACCCTGGCCTCCATCGCCAACCGTCTGTACAGCCACGCCAGCATCGAAAACCACATCCGCCTGGCGGTGGTGAAAGTAGTGGTGTTGGGCGACAAGGACAAGAGTCTGGAGGTGAACAAGAACGCGGCCACCACGCTCAAGAACTTCTGCAAGTGGCAGCACCAGCACAACCAGCTGGGGGAGGATCACGAGGAGCACTATGATGCGGCGATCTTGTTCACTCGGGAGGTAGGTCCAGCAGGGATGCGTGGGCCACAATTGCCATGGGGCTTGAGGGTGGCTTTGCTGTTCCTACCAACTACCTACCTGCCGCTACGGATTGGCTTAACGAATTAGTTCTACGCGACGTGCAGCCTCCTTCCAATTCTGCTCCTGTGTTCAAATTAGCCCAGCATCAATGCCTGCCTGGAATGACTGCTGTATTGCCTCTGCTTATGCAATTAGCAATCAACACTGCTGGGTGTCCTACCGTCCGAGACGTGGTGGCACAGGTGTGTACGCACGGTCAGAATGCATAGGGAGTTAAAGTGTAAAAGGGAAAAGCAAAGTTGCCTGTGAAACCTTTTCAGTAAGATATAACACTGTCTAACGTTACGCAAGGGGTTGGTTGGCTCAGCCATGGTGGCTGCGTTTATCTTTGTAAATGCTCCCACCTTCTTACTTGGACCAATTCCGCAACACAGAGGAGCAGAGGACAAGCTTTCCAAAAAAAAAAAACTCCTTTCCCAGTCTGACTTTCTCATGGAATTCTGATTGGTCCTTTTTAGATTCTGACTTCCTGAGCAGAAAGGAATGTGGGAGGGCCTGGAGGATATAGCCAATCAGTGGAGAGGACTCCATCTGGTCCTCCTTATAACCCCTCCCTAGCCAGCTAGTGCATCTCCCAAGCAGAAGGAAGGGACACATCCTGTAGGCATGTCTGGGTTTTGGGCGGATCTATGTATTAAGTGCCAGTGCAGATTGGTGCAAAGAGTGCAGGCATGAAGAAGGAATGTTTTCCTAGGGTTTCCTCCCAAGTAAGGACAGCAAGGAATTGGATCAGTCTCAGTCCAGAGGCTGAGGGAAAACAAGGTAGCTATTGATCATTTGTCCACCATGTTAGTGTTGACATTCAAGCAAAAGGCTTGGGTTGATTTGGTGCCTGATTTGTGTCAATCTTTGCAACTCTACCCTCCTTGATACTTTTTACATTGTGCTTCTCCTGTGCCTGGTAAGAAGTGGCTTTGAAAGTTCATTCTAGAAATGTTGGTACTCCATCCACAAGAGCTGAAGGATGATGGAAAGGCTTGAGTAAAATCATGGGATGAAATGGAGCAAAGAGAACAAGGACAGGAAATTAGATGGTGGGTTGAAGGAAACTTTGCAATTACACAGCTTTACCACCTAATCCTGCTATTTTTGCTGCAGCACCTCTGGGATGAAGGAAAAGTGTTGATAAATTTGGAGTAAGAAACACTTGTGGTTCATGGGGTGTGCATAGATGTAAACCACATGTAAACAAAGACACTGCCCAGCAGAAGTTTAGGGAGGTCCAGGGAGCACCCAGTGCTGTGCACATGGAAACTCTCTCCTCATTAAGTGATCTTCTGGAAGCCATCCTTTAATTTCCCTGTGCAGCATTCCACTGTGAACCAGTAGAGCACTCATCCTGCAGCTCTCACTGTGAAGTAAGTTCTGTAAGACGATCCATTTCTAGTTGGTTTCCAAGTACTTAAAAAAAAAATGTAAGCAGCTTTTCATGTCTGGGTTTCCTTGCCTTGTTGCATCACTGGAGACTACCCAGAAAGAGGCTTTGAAGAATTTATGGAAGGAGAGTCTGCAAAGGAAAAGGAAGAACCTTTCCTAGGCACACCCTTCCAAGAAGAAGGTCATTAAAGAGTTGGCTTTCATTTTTAAATACAAATGCACATTCCATAATCTTAGCACAAACATTAATGAGTAGAAAGATCATCACTTTTGCTCTCCTATCGCATAATCTTCCTGTTTTTAAGTAAAAAGGAAATTAGTTAATGATCCTTAAATGATTCATTTATTGCTTTTCCTGTATTTGTTTTTTGTTTGTTTGGGCAGCTAGCAATTTCTGCTTTGTAAACTGAGAAACTGAGTATATTTCAAATAGATAAAAGTAAAGGAGAAAGAAATGAATAATCTGTGTTAATTATATTTAAATGTTGCAATAACATGCACTTCTCAAATTAGTCTACACTTAGAAAACATTTTACATTTGCTTGCCTGGCCTGCTTACCAAGCAGAAGCATACTTTTAACAAAGCAAATCTCATTTACTTGGTGATGGGCCCTTTGACATGTCACATCATGAGAAGTAAATATTAGAAAAGCATGAATATGTGAATGTATGCACCCAATTGGAAAGTTATACTAATTAGAGAGTGAGAAAAATACTTCCAGACTTATATGTAGCATTCATGTCGGACAATTTCAAACTTGTAAAGTTAATCTCTACTTGGGACTTTGAAAAGTACAAAACCAAAATGTCTGTAGGAGAGGTGGTCTGAGCTGTTCTATTTCAGAGCAATGAGCTATCTGAAGGCCTGGATCATTTTCATTTTCATGGTTGTTTCTTTTTTCAATGAGAAATACCCAAAGTTGGCCCAGAATTTTACTTTTTACAACTCTGTTTTGAAAGTAAGAAGCACGTTGCCTAGCAACCAGACGCCAAGGCATCAAATCCATGTTTTGATGGGCTCTAAGACCTGTTCCAATTTTTTTTTTTTTGTCCAGATGTCTTTTCCTGAATTTCTTGTTTTTCAGGCATGAAGCAAATGTGTGAAGATATTTCCACTCCTGTTTACTAGTTGTTGCCACCTTGAACTTTATGTCTGGGTGTCAGCAGAGTAGTGTTAATAATTCAACTATCAAGCTCACAAACTAACAAACTAACACACTTCGCTGTCAGGGCTGCACCCCGGCACTGTATTAATTCATGAAGTTCAGCACTAGTCAGTTTTCTGGCATGGAAGGCATTTGCAATGTGGACTAGCACTTAGGCAGCAGTTCACAGGACTCCAGCCACCAAGCAGTAGAAACTTATCTCCCCAAGACTTCATTCTGCTTTCCAGGATAACTTTTTTTTTCCTGACTTCTTTTATTATTCACTTTTTAAAAAAAAAAGATTCATTTATTTTTATTGGAAAGTAAGCTATACAGAGAGGAGGAGAGGCAGAGAGGAAGATCTTCTGTCCGATGATTCACTCCACAAGTGACCACAACAGCTGGAGCTGAGCTGATCCAAAGCCAGGAGCCAAGAGCTCTTCCTGGTCTCCCATGCGGGTGTAGGATCTCAAGGTTTTGGGCCATCCTCAGCTGCTTTCCCAGACCACTATCAGGGAGCTGGATGGGAAGTGGGGCTGCTGGGTTTAGAACCGACACCCTTATGGGATCCTGGTGCATGCCAGGAAAGGACTTTAGACACTGGGCCACTACACCTGGCTCTATTATTCACTTTTTAAAACAAATAGACAAAAAAATAATAAAAGCCTACCTGCTTGGCAACAAAATTGGACATTATTTAACATCCCCCACCCCTGCGCAGCATTGATGAAAGACTGAAGGTAATATATTGAACTTGTGTCAGCAAAAAGATTCATTCACTTTTGTTAATTGCAAGTGTGACCACTAACAAGCTGCTATCTCAAAGGGAAACCTCTCTTTGAAGTTTTGTCTTAGAATGTTGGGGCCGTACCTCCACACACAGCACTTTTCCTTTTCCACCTGCTCTCTTGTTAGCTATAGGAGACAGCAGAAAGAGAATAAGGGCTGGATGAGGCCAGATGATGTGCTGGTCAATGGACTTGCTGAATGGACTTACTGCCTTAATCACATGTTGGAGTTCAAAGCTCATGGAAAACCACTGATGATCCTTTGTCTAAGAAGTACAACCCATAGGTATGAATTAATAAAAAGCTAACCATCTCATAAACAGGAAGGCTTGTAGCAAAACAAAAGGCTCTAGTGGATATTTCTTAAATAAGTTATGAGGAACATTATGGAAAAATCAGAATTGTTAAACACAGCACACATGGGAATCTATTATATTTCTCACATTTGGCATATGTCTGTCTTCACCTCCCATGTGTGAGACACTCAGTATCTAAAGGTGGAAAAGTGGAAAATGCTATTCCCTGTCCACTGGACTTGTCATTGTACACAGTAAGTCAAGTCATTGTATAAATCACACTGGTGTTAGGAAAACAAAAATAAAAATGCTCTGAGCTGTAACAACAAAAGTTGAAAGGAAAAAGGAGAAAAGATGAATTCTGATTGTGAATTTTTATACTGGTTTTATTGTATTGAAAAGTCAGTACTCAAACTGTGAATAAATCTGGCTTAGATTTAGCTAGCTACTGGTCACATCTTCTCCATGTCCATAAAGCGTCTCATGGTAAATCCTTGCATTAATCTACAACCATCACATCATTATCTTCTTTTGATGGATAAGAACACTCAGGTGAAGAGAGATAGAAATGGCAAATGACAGACAAAAGAAATCATCCTGTCTAATGTTCTCTATACCAAACACGTCATCATAACTGTTATAAGCACCATGCTGTAGCTGGCAAAGCCACCCTCTGTGGCACCCATATTCAATACGGGCATCGAGTTGAGTACTAGCTGCTCCATTTCCGATCCACTTCCATGCTAATGTGCCTAACAAAGCAGCAGAAGATCACACACATGATTTAGCCTATTCACTATTGGGGGAGACCTGGAAGAAGCTTCTGGCTCCAGGCTTTGGCCTGATCCAGCTCCAACTGTTGTGGCCATTTTAGGAGTGAACCGGTAGATAGAAAATCTTTTCTTCTCTGTGTTCCCCTTCTTTCTCTATTACTCTGTCTTTCAAATAAATAAATAATTAAAAATAATAGTAGTAATGATGACTAAGTAACCAAAGCATTGAGTGTTCCTCATAGGCATAGAGAGATTCAGGGATTTATACTTTATGAGGCTCCTTTACTAATAATCTACTCCCAGAAGCAGACAAGGAAAGGAATAACTGATGTACAACATGACTACTTTTACAATAGGTTAATTGAAGTTAGGAAAAACAAGAGTATAGAGGAAACTGCACATCACATCTGTCTGTTGAACCATCATAAGAATAAGGTATAAAAACACAGAATGGATGACTTGAGTAACAGAAATCACTACCTGCACTTCCAGAGACTGACAAAGCCAAGAATAAGCTTCCCAGCAATTTCATCTCTGGCG